CCCCCAACCTCAGGATTGGGCCAGGGATTAAGTTCGCCTCCAGCAGTCCTGAAGCTTGGCTCCTCCAGGCATCACTCTGAATCCCGTGCACCTGCTTCTTAAGTAAAACTATCACCTGATGATGATCCAACTCCTCCGATCCCAAGCAGTCAAAACACGGTAATCACGGGTACCAATACCTTCACCCTCCTGAAGAGGAGCCCCCACATTTTCCAGACACCCCCCAACACCTGCTCCCGAGGCCTGGGCTTTGCTGCACCCCCACCTTCTGTAAGCCGCTGATCCCAGACCTCAGCTGAAGATTATGTTCAAGCTCCATCAAAGCCCAGAATTCACAAGTGAAAAAGGACCATGAGTCAACCGCCTTTGATCCTGCTCTGGGGATGCCCAGCGCCCTGCTGCAGTCTGCAGGGGCCAGAGCCCCAGGAGAGGGGCAGGGTCTCTGACACCCGCCCTCAAAAAGAGCCACAAGCCCCAACCTCAGCAACTCCTAACCTTCCTGTATAACATCCTGCTCACTCACTTCATGGCCCTCAAACACTTTCAACCCTGCTTTTAATAGCAAGACGGCTTAGGTTCATTTCTGAGACACCAGCCCCTCTAGCTCTCTACCATCTGGACCCCCTGCTCTCCCAACTCCACTACCCAGGGCCAACATCACCATCACCTCCTGCAGGTCTGCTCCTTCTCCAGGGACCCCATAATGAGCTGTTCCCGGCTCTTCTGATCCTCAGATTCCCCTGTGTCAAAGCTCCTCTATCCCCAAGCACACGATTTAACACCTAGACCAGCAAAGTGAAATAAACTTTCTGCGGGGATAAACATGTTCTTCGGGACTGTTCAATTCAGAAGCCACTGGCCACATGTAGTTCCTGAACACTTGAAAGGTGGCTAGCAACTGATTTTTTTTTTTTTAATTTAACTTAGTATAATTAATTTTAATAGCCATGCTTGGTGCTTGGTTACCACACTGAACAATAAAACCCTAGACTACATTTGTTAATTTCACCTTCTCCAAATCGGTTTCTCGTTCCCCCAAATGTCAAGGCCATTTTATCCGTCTTTGTCCTCCATACAACATGCAATAGGAAGCTCAGTGACCTATGAACTACCTGTAGCCAATGTGAATGTAAGAGGCTGATCTGAGCAATGAAACTTGCCTCACCTTCTGATCCTATCCAGCAAACCCAAGCTGGACACTGCTGTCACCCAGCCACACTCTCATCTTGCTCCCCAACAGGTGTGCACGAGGTGTGCTGGGTAAGATGCGGCCTAAACGGTGGGGATGTGGGAGCTCTGGCCTTCCCTCTGGCAGTATCCCGACCAACCATGGCAGGTTCGATCAACTCCCCTCCAGAACACCAAAGGCAGCCACGATACTGTGACACTGCGTGATCCAGAGAAAGCACGCTGGAGAAAGGAAAGGAGAAGACACCAAGCCTTGTTTTCTCTAACCCGTGCAATGGAAAGCAAACAGAGATAAGTGATGACAGCATCCTATATTTTTAAGCAATAACATGTTTCACCTAACCTGAGCCACACAGCAGAGAGACAACAATGCCAGCTTTAATTAAATTTGTTCAGCTAATAACCAAGAGTCACAGTGAAGCAGGAAGCAGCTGAGGAACTGCACAGGGAATACCACCAATTACTACTCAAGTGCCTTGAGACTAGGTGTTCCTATCAAAGAAACAGAATTCCCATCTTCTTGTACAAAAAATAGTAATAAGTACGATTTCTATCAAGCACTCCCTAAAAAAGGAAAGAAGTGTTGAAACTGCTTGTTACCATAGATTCAAAAGACATGGTGCTGCTGAGTTGGCTTATAAACTCCAACTTCAGGGATTACTGCCGAGGAATACCCACCCAGCTACACTGTCACCCAGGAGGTCCTGGGTGACAGTGTAGCTCCTCCTGGGGCAGCAGCCAGTCCCAGGGACTAGCTTGCTGATGGCATTACAGTTACAAAGTGTGAAGAGGCCTGAGACTCCCGAGTCAGGTGTCCTGGGTTCTAATCCTGACTCTGCCAAGTGCATGGCTATATGACCTCAAGCACGTCTTGGCTATATGACCTCAAGCACGTCTTTTCTCATCTGCAAAATGAGGGGGTTAGAGGAGATGACCTCTAAAATCCCTCTGACAATGAACTCAGCAGAAGCAGCCAGAAGAGATGGTGAGGTGAGGTCATAGCACCCACCAAAAGCATTTACCTGTTAGATCTCTCGGGCGGAGAGAGAAGCAGCAGGGCGGGCAAGTTGAGACTTAAATTTTAAGCAGTGATTTCACTTAATCAGGCTAAGAGGTCACAGACCACAGACGGGAGTGGGCATCTGGACAACCACCACCTCCCATTAATTCTCAGGCGCCAGGAACCTTCATCAGAGACCCCGATCTCTGCCCCCAGACCCCCAGAATGGTGTGACACACTGTGGAAGTCTTTCCCTTTTTCTGTAGGCGCCATCCGATGGGGCAACCCCTCCTGCCCCTGCCCCACCCCCACCTTCCTCTCTTGCTATATAATCAAAACACTCCTGGTTTTGAAAATCACTTCACTACTCAGCACCTAAGGTTGAGTTAATCAAGAGTCAAGATCTAGAAATCTCTTTGGTGTATGTCTGGCACAGGATGCTTTGAACCAAATTCCCCCACAGCTGTAATTATGTGTTGGCCAATATTTGGATACGGAAGTGCTGTTGACACTGCTGTCAGTCTCCGAATGCCTCATCCCTGCTTTCTCCCTCTATTATTAAGCTTTTCACAAAGATGTGTGGGAAATCTACAATTGAACAGCTGAGTCAACTCCTAAGATCTGGGAGCAGACTACCTGTCAAAACAGACTCTGACTTCAGTCTTCACCCATTGCTAACGGAGAAGGCTAAACGATGTGTGTTATTTAAAACACTGCTGGATTTTCCCTTTCTTTCAGAACTATATTCAAAGAGGGTCAAAATCCAGATCCCTCTCCTATTAATCACAACAGAAATCTTAATTGCCACCCACAAGCATTTTTGAGGGTGGTTTTCTGTGCCCATTAAGTAGAAAAAGAAGCAGAAATTGAGAGCTTTTGTTCTAAAGTCTCTAAGAAAATGAGCAGCCAGTGTCCCCAAACTGCTGATGGGGGAAGGCAGATGGCATCTCAGAGGAGACAAAACTTTGCTGGGAAGAACCGTCTGTCACTTCCTCAATGGCACAGGTTAAATGTGGTCCAAGAGTATTCACTCAACTCAACTCCCCAAGGTCAGAGCCATGGTCGAACAACAACCACTCCCCTCCCAGCCCTAGTTATGAATATGGAAAGAGGCACAAAAAGTATTAAAGTGTCCATCGTACTGATATAGTCCTCCTCCCACCGTCCAACACTGATCAACAATCAGAAGCCCTCAACACCACCTTAAAGTCAAAACCAAAGAAATCTTGACAGTGTTGAGCTAGTTGAAAGCTTTCCCCAAAAAAGGAGGATGGTAGGAGCAAGGAAAAAACAATTTATAGAGGCCTAAAATCTGGAAATTGGACATTCTTGCCCTCTCTCCAATCCTGAAGTACATACCAAGGGTTCTATGACATCTAATTATATATATTCCAACAGTCCCACCCATCACACACACACACATATCTGAGTTTTGTATGAATAGCTGAAATACACAGCTAGCCGTGGGGGTTGGAGGAGGAAAAGATAAATACAACACAGGAAGTAATTTTCTCCTCCAATCATTAACACCCCCCAGGGGAAGTCGGGGTGATGTGTCACCTTCAGAGATGCGGTTTGATATGAAAACCCTCTGAGGAGAAGACCTTTTCAATGACTCTCAACACTGGCTCCCCCTGCTCTGGGACTACCCTGGAGAGACTCATCCATCCTCACCACCCCTCCAAGTCCGAATACCTATTCGGAAATAGGTATTCTCTCTGAAATCCCCATTTTCCTCCTACCACACCCCCTCAAAAAAAAAAAAAGAAAGAAAGAAAGAAAGAAAAGAAAAGAGGGTGGGTTTCCCCAATTAAAAGATAACGCTCCCTCCCACTGTCCACAAAGGCATGTCCAGGACTCAAGTGGGGCCACCTCCGATCCGATCGATCTGCGGGAGTGGGTACCGGGCCAAGCGTGGTTTCCAAACCCGGTTTCCAAAGATCAATGACGCTATGGAAACAGCAGACGCCGCGCCGAGCCCGCTGGTCCCCCATCTGGAGCCTCCAGGGCGCGGAAGGTAGGAGGGCGCCTGCTCTCAGATCAAAACAATCCCTCCTTCCCGGGAGGGCGGAGGGCGGAGGGGGCAGGGGGGCGGGAGGTGGCCCGGCGGCGGAATCCCCAGCCTCGCACGAACTCCTGGCCGGCAGGCGCGCGCCCGGGAGGCCCGGCCGGCACTCACGAGGCCCCGGGAGATGAAATCACACATTCCGGCTCCCAAATAAGGAGTGAGGCTACATACACCTCCGAGATCCGCGACTTCTCCAAACCGACCGACCCACCGGCTCCATGAGTAATGGGTCTTTTGTGCCCGCAGAAAAGAAAGGAAGGAAGGAAGGAAGGAGGAGAGGGAAAGAGAGGAGGATGGGGAACCACAACCCCCCGGGAAATCGCTTCCTCCAGACGCGGCGACATTTAGCAGAAGTGGTCGGTCCCGAAAGCCAAAACCGTTCCGACTCGGCCGGGTCCCGCTCAAACCCCAAAATGGCAGAGTCCTCACAGGAGTCCTCTCTCTCGAGTCCCTCCGCCGCCACTCACACCCCCCAAGTGACCGGAAACGCGGTCCCGGACCTGACCTTCCCCGCTGCCCGCGCCCCGGCCGCGCGCGCACTTGGCAGCCTCGGCGCCCCGACCCCGCTTGCCCCGCCGCGGCCCGGGCTCCCGGGACGCCCGGGTCCGGGACGGGACGGGGTCGGCGCGGTCACGCCGAGCGATCGTGCGCTGCTTCGGCCACTCCCGGCCCCGGGGTGGTTCCCCGGGAGCTCCCCCCGGCTAGTCTTCCCCTCCCCTCCCGCGAGGCCCCCCGGAACCTTACTTTTAGGGCGAATTTCTCCTGCGTCCTCTTGTTGAAGATCTGCAAAACTTTCCCGTTGATGCCCAGCCCCAGGACCTGGGTGGTGACCTTGTAGTCGTCGATGATGGCGTTCTTCTTGATCTGCAGGCTCGACTTGACGTGGAACTGGGGGAACTGCTGCGGGGGCTGCGGCGGCGGCTGGGCCGGGGCGGGGGGCTGCGGCGGCGGCGGCGGCGGCGGCGGCGGGCTGGGGAACAGCACCGGCGGGGTCTGGCCCTGGGAGTTGGACAGCATGGTGCCGGGAGGCGACGCGGGAGGAGCAGGGGCGGGAGGGCCCCCGGCCGCCCCGTCCTCCGGCTCCGGACAGGGTCCCCGCCACCCCCCGCCCGGCGACGAAGTTTGCTCCGGGCTGGAGCCGGCTTCCCCGGCCGGGCCCGGCTCCAGGCTCGGCGGGTCGCGGGGCTCCGTGGGTCCCGCCGTGCTCCGCTGATGCCCACCGGCCCTGCTCCCACCCTCCCTCCCTCCCCCCGGGGGCCTGGCGCTCGGTGGAACGCGGGACGGCGGGGGGCCCAGCCCGGGGGGGAAGCGGCCGCGAGACACACTACCCTGCCCGGGGGCCCGCGGCCGCGTCACAGGCTCGTCTACGTCCGGGGCCGGTCCTTAAAGGGGAGGGGCGGGTGGGCGGGGCTTGGGGCGGAGGGGCGGGGCCTGGAGGCGTGGGCGAGGGGGCGGGGCCGGCCTTAAAGGGAAGGACAAGCAAGAGGCCTCCGAAGCGGGGAGGGCGGGGCTGGGGACTGGGGTTTGGGGACAGGGGACTGAGGACTGGGGACTGGGGACTGGGGAGGATAGGAGACTGGGAGTGGGAGACTGAGAAATCCTAGTTCTTCATTAATCTGGGCCACGCCAAGGGAAGGGGGAGGCGTATGAAAGTAGCTGCACAATCCAAATAGAAAACCCACTTATCTCCAATTGTCTGGCTCTTAGCAGCAGCCAATTGGGAGATGGGGGTGTCTTTTGAAGGAGAAGAAAGGATGACTAGGAAATATGGGCTGGATGAGACCTCAGGGGTGGGCTGGAGCTGGAGGCCATTCCTCGTAGGAATAGGTGGGAAGCAAATATTAACTCTGAATTTGGTATCTGTTTTGCTATTTCCTCTGATTTTTTGCATTTCTTTCCTCATAAATGTACTGTTTACCAGTAAATACTTAAGTAACTTTGAACAATTGAATAATTGTTCCTTTGAACATTTGTTTCATGTCAAGCCCTAGCCGGTTTGGCTCAGTGGACAGAGCGTTGTTGGCCTATGGACTGAAGGGTTCCAGGTTTGATTCAGGCCAAGGGCACATGCCCCTCTTGCGAGCTGGGTCCCCCCCATAAGGGGCTTGGAGGAGGCAGCCAATCAATGATTCTCTCTCATCATTGATGTTCTATCTCTCTCTCTCCCTTCCTCTCTGAAATCAATTAAAAGTATATATATTACAAGGTGGGAAGAGAGTGGATTGAGATGCAGACTGCCCGAATCCAGGGAGCTTTACCACAACTGGGTGAAACTGAGCAAGCCCTGCTCCTCTCAGTGGAAGGATAGGAACACCTTGTCCTAGGGTTGCAGAGAGAATTAGAGAAGACAGTAACAAATGGGAAGGTGTAGTGAATGGGTTCTAATGTCCAACATGGAAAACTTAGACCCTGAACCTACGGCCTTGTGGAGAAGTGGGTGTTTTTGAAGAAGGGGGCGTTCCAGTCCAGATGAGCCCTATATCTCGGGGGGAGATAATAAGGATCTAGCTGGACCTGTAGTGTGGAAGGGACTGGGGAGGCCACAAACACTACTAGCATAAGTGGCCAGAAGGCCTCTGTACACATTTCTGATGGGGTTTGCAGATGCTCATTAAATACATCCCTGCCGGCCTACTCCCTCCTCTGACCGGTGTAACAGTTGAGAAATAAGACAAAGGGACCAGACAGGTGAAGAGAGAACCTCAAATTAATTACTGATCAGGCCAAATGAGAGAACGGGGCACGACCTAGGACCACACTTGGCCTTTACTATTTCCCCCCAACACTACCGAGCCCCCTTGTCTAGGGAGACCCTGCCTAGGTAGAAAGAGAAAAGGGAACATCGGGGAAATAGGAGCCCTTCAGGACTGAGGCAAGGCAGGAAGTAGCGAAGGGTGGGATGAACAGGACTCATTCCATGGGCCAAGGAGAGAAACAGTTCCCCTCACACAAATATCTGCTCTTTCAGACAGAGGTAATGTGGTGCATCCATTGACTGAGTACAAGGTGCCATGTGGTTAATCTACGGGGAAGAAGACAGACAGGGAGACGTGCACAGCATCAGGAGGGGGACACAGACACGGGTTGGGGAGACCAGGCTGAGGGGTTTGCCTCCGGCAGCCGGAACCAGAGCTTCCTCCGGTGCTAGAGGATGAATGCGGTTACACAGTTCCCCAAACCCCTTCAAAGGCAAAGAGACTGCCAGAGGCCGTAGAGATGGGAAGACACCTTTGCCTGGTTCTGTGTGTACTGCTGCCACCTCCCCAAGGACACTGGGGAGATGCCCACAGACCGAGATAAGAGAGGACGCAGGGATGAGGGCGGGTGGAAACCTCCAACTGCTCCCTGTCTTCCTCCGCTGATAGGAGACGGGCTCCGTGTCTGGGGCCGCTCAGGGATCTGAGTTGTTGTTTTTTCCCTCTGCAGAGGGTCACTGGGGGCTTCCTGCCGCTCGCCACGGAGCTGTCACCTGCTTCTCTTCACAAGGCTAGAAAGACAATAAGCTCTTCTTGCTTTTACAGAGGCGGCCGGGCACCGTGGGAAGAGAACAGAATTTAGAGACAAATGACCTGAATTCAAGTCTGTCCTCAAATTGAATAACCGTGAGGGAGTCCTTTATCCTCTTTTTGCACCCAAAAAAAAAAAAAATAATAATAATAATAATAATAATAATAATATCTATTTTTAGGGCTGAATGAGAATGAAATGAGATGGTGTTTGTAAAACCCCTTCATAAACTATAAAGGATCATGAAACAGTCATTATCACTACTGAGGCATTGCTGGCTTGCTCTTCCGTTCCGTGCCCACTGCCTGGGGATCTGTCCCTGATACGAATGCTGCCTGCCTCCCCTGCGGGGGTTCTAGGAAATGAGCTGAAGCCCAGTGACAGGAATAACAAGAAAGCTGAGACCCCAGCTGGGGATTCCTCCTGGAGGTACCTGGGCTGGCTAGGCCTGGCACATACAAGGACCCTAAGGGCTTGTATAGAGATAACATGAACCGCACATAAAGGCTAGAAAACACATACATGTATAAACACACATACTTAAGTGTGATAATACAGACACGGAATAAATGCGTGATGGATAAATAACCGGGGAGTGAGATGGAGGAAAGAAAGAAGCACGAGGCAAGAGTTGCAGAGTCTTAAGTTCCGTTCCAGGACTAATTAGCTATGAAACCTGACGAAAGCCCCTTGCCCTCTCAGTTCCCTCTTTTATCATCAGCAAAACAAGTAATAATAACATTTGTCCTGCCCACCTTGCAGAGCTACTTTGAGGATTAACTAAAATATTTTCCCTCAGGACACAGAAGTCCAATGTCCCAAACATCACACTCAACCATCTGCAATGAGCTACTTGAACAGTGTTTCTGGATGTGCTATTTGTGTTAAAAGTCTATGAAAACAGAAAATGCTATTTGTGTCGGTAATTTACATGTGAACACATATGTCATGCAAAACTGTACACATAAAGACAATTTAAACACCTCAAGTACATAGTATTGGGTTAATTATAACCCTTGAGTCATGACGCACTCTCATCATTGGATCATTGGCTCACGTATCTCTGCTTTTGTTTAGTTATTAGTTATGTTAACAATGCAATATTCATCTGCAAATCCACTACCTAAAATTAAACTCACCATTTCCTTGCTTTCCTTTTATTTTTTAATGTTTGCATTTCCTTTTCTTTTTTATATATATTTTTTATTCGTTTTAGAGAGGGAGATAAAAACATCAATGGTGAGAGAGAATTTTTTTTAATATATTTTATTGATTTTTCACAGAGGAAGAGAGAGGGATAGAGAGTTAGAAACATCGATGAGAGAGAATCATCAATCAGCTGCCTCTTGCACACCCTCCACCGGGGATGTGCCCGCAACCAAGGTACATGCCCTTGCCTGGAATCGAACCAGGGACCTTTCAGTCTGCAGGCCAACGCTCTATCCACTGAGCCAAACCGGTCCCAGCGAAAGAGAATTATTGATTGGCTGCCTCCTGCACGCCCCCCCACTGGGGATCAAGCCCACAACCAGGGCATATTCCCTGACCAGGAATTGAACCGTGGCCTCTTGGTTCACAGGTCAATACTCAACGCTGGCCAGGCCCCTTGCTTTCCTTTTTTATAGTTTTGTTTCATTTTGTTAGGGCACATTAAAGGCCCATGAGAGATGAAAGTCACAGTGTCTTTAAAAGAGACATGGATAAGGGTGACTTCAGCAGCAAGATGACGTTCCAATAAGGAGATATCTTGTCATAGTTTCAGAGTATTCCCCACCTTCTCATGGTGGTGGTGATGATGGTGATGACAATGATCGCTGAATGCTTACTCTGTAGCCAACACTGTGCTCAGCCCTCCACCTGCATCATCTCAGTTAAATCTCAAAAAAACTGTGGTTTGGCTCAGTGGATAGAGTGTCGGCCTATGGACTCAAGGGTCCCAGGTTTGATTCAGGTCAAGGGCATGTACCTTGGTTGCGGACACATCCCCAGTAGGGGGTAAGCAGGAAGCAGCTGATTGATGATTCTCTCTCATCAATGTTTCTAACTCTCTATCTCTCTCCCTTCCTCCCTGTAAAAAAATCAATAAAATGCATTTTTTTAAAAAGAGAACTGTGGCAGATTGCTAGTTGTTTGCGCCAATACCCTTTTCCCCCCTCTTTGATGGTAAAGAACCTCCAATATTTCACTAAGCCCATGACTGGAATAAAAATTACATTTCCCAGCCTCCATTGCAGCTGGCTGTGCTCGTGAGCTTAAGTTCAAGCTAATGACTTGTAAATGGAAGTGGCTGAAAGTGAGAGGTAGGGCCTTCTTCGCCTCCTTTCTTCTCCTCCCTGCTGGCTGGAATGAAAATGTAATGGCTGGAGCATGAGCAGCTATCTTGGTTCATGAAGTGGAGGCCACAGGATGAGGATGACAGAGCAAAAGAATAGAAGGAGCTTATTCCTGGGAAGCATGCATTCATCTTATCAGCCCTAAACCACTTACCAAGGTTTTTAAGAAAGAGAAAT